CCACCCCTCACCCTTGCCCTTGATCCTATGTCCTCACCATTCCTCCAGGACCACACGCCATCATTTCCCCTCTCTCCTGTGTCTCCATGTGATTAAGACACTGCACTCCACACATAAATATCCTTTTCTCTTCTGTCTCAAAAACATCCTCTTGACACTGTTGTCTTTTAGAATCTACAGCCTTTCAGGTGGCCCAAACTTTTGAGCAGTCATCTGTTTTTCCATCATACTCTCCTACAATGCCCACATCAGCCCACACCATTCACCCCATAGCCAACTGGCATTGCATTCCAGCATGCCCACTTCCATGATCTTTTAATCCCTTCCTCTACCACCTCTGGGCAGTTTTGTCATTTCAATTTAGCGCCATCTTTGCATTGCTTTTGCACATGTGAGTTTGTAGCAACTTGTGGGATCCTTGCCAGGGTGTTAGATTTGGTGCCTTGAGAGAGACCTCTGAGGTTGATAAAACCCTTCCCCATCCATAGTTTATGTTCTGGGTCCTTAGAGTCTAATCACACGTGTACTTCTCTGGCTCTCACGGGTACATGTTGGCTTAGTTCTACCTTCAGCAGCCCTTTGGTTCCCTTACAAGGCCCAGGGTGATGGTTAATTTTATTTGTCAACTTGACTGGACAAAGGGATGCCCAGTTTACTGGTAATACATTATTTCTGGGTATGTCTGTGTGGGTAGTTCCAGAAGAGATTAGCATTTGAATCAGTAGTCCTGTTCAAGATCTGCCCTCATTAATGTGAATGGGCATCAGCCAACCTATTGAGGGCCTGAGTAGAACAAAGAGGCACAGGAAGGGGGTGTTCTCTCTCTCTCTCTCTTTTTGAACTGGGAGGCCCATCTCCAGACATATGAGTTCAGGTTTCTCAGGCCGTGGGCCTCAGACTGGGAGGCACACCTCCAGCTGCTCTGGTTCTCAGGCTTTTGATCTCAGACTGAGTTACACCACCAGCTGTCCTGGTTCTCCAGCTTGCAGACAGCAGATCGTGGGGCTTCGCCACCTTTATAGTCCTGTGAGCCAGTTCCTGTACTGTGCCCTCTCTGTCTCCCTCTCTGTATTCTGTTGGTTCGTTTCTCTGGAGAACTCTGGCTACCTTCAGCATTTCCACGGCTCTGTTCTACAACAGTTTTACTCCAGTTATAGCTTAATGGCCAAGAGTAGAGGGGAGGGCAGATCCTGAGGGGCACCCATTACCTTCCGCAGCAGAGGCCTCTGGATTATTTTTCCGCATGGGAAAGTGCTAGACTGACTAAGTTAGGTCGGGACACTTCTGTGAGTTTGCAAGGTTAACAGCTTTACAGGGTCCTAATACTTGGAAGCTTCCACCCAAATGTGCCCATCCTATGTCTCAGAGCCCTGGATTTTCCCAGCCAGGGCCACAGTGCCATGGTGGGCAGTTAACTGTCTCATAAGTTCAGTTACTTTGACTATGATGTTGTAAACTCGGTTTTCTGGTTCCTCTATATGATATAGACATGGACTCTTGCATGAACCAAAGAGTCCTTGTGGCCCCCACACCTGGTTTCCACTTGCCTCCTAGTGGGCCTCAACCACAGTGGTGTTCAGCAATGGCCATCACAAATCTTCATTCTTATATTTACTGTTTACTTACTGAGACCATAAGTTCTAATGCCTTATGAATGTGTGCCTGTCAGTGCATTCCCTTCCATCAAGACATTCCCTGATTTTCCACTGGTGGAAATTTTAATGCTTGTACCTGTGCATGCATGAGTCTGTATTCCACTGCCACTCTTCTACCCAAATCAGGTAGAACTTCCAGCCAGGAAGCAAGTGGTCCAGTTTACTGGATCCCATCTTATCACATGCTTTCTGTTAGTAAATATTGGATTCTCTAGCCCAAGACACTAAATTGGAACTTTTAGTGCAAAATAACAAGAGTTAATATCTGATAAAAGAAAGAGAACAAGGGAAGATAAAAGAGACAGAGAAGTGGTGCTGAGATGCAGGAACAAGAAAGCTTCAGGAAACCTGGCTGGGAGCCTTGGAGCAAGTTCTGTCCATCACTGGGTTGAACTGGGCTTTATACCTTGCTTCACTCAGTCACTGGATGCAAGTGGCCCCAAGGAAGAATGTGATCGTGTGCCAGATGGGCTTCGGCAGCTAAGGCTGAGCCCGAAGGAACCGAGATGGAGGCTATCTGCTGATCACACTCCCCAGAGTCAGGCAGAAATTCCTTCCTTAAAAGGACAATTAGATGAAACAGCTCCACGTCTACTGCAATAATATGAAAGCAACATTACAACTCAATCTGTGTACCGCTCATTACTTAATATAAGAACACCACCAAGCACCATAGATAAGCACTGTGGGTGAACATTATTGCCCCACAAAGACATGAAATTGAATCTTATGCACTGGAATCTAATGCTTTCTGATTTTTGAATACAACATATTTATCTAAGTAACAAATTAGGAACACTGAACATTCCTGAACAAAATCTGGTGCAAAATTGCTAAGTATTTCTAGTCTCCCAATCATTTTGATTAACCTGTGTTTAGGATTACAGTTTGGCATAAATGGAGTAAGGGGGTAATGGACCTAGATTGCCACTCTACCTGGGAATGTCCAGGAAACTATAGTGTATTATCAGGACATTGAATTTTTGGTTGGAAAAGTGATGTCCATGGTCCAGTAGGCAGCTTAGAAAATAAGCTAAAATTAAGACTCACAATACCATTTGGATTCAGGAGCTTTTGCATTGGATTTTCTCTACCCTCTTCCCTCCCCGAGACACTAACCTGACTGGTTTGCCCTGCAACCCCAGTCCTTCTTGTGATATAGATCTCTTTACTTATGGTGAGTTTACCATAGACTTTCTGGCTATACCAAACAGCCCCATATTTACCAAATAAAGACTGTAAAGACATTTTCCACAGATTGCATCAGTCCTAGGTTGTAGTCTGACAGCCCAGAGGCCAGCCTCACTCCAATCTCTCTGGCATTTTTCCCAGGGAGCTGTAAATTACTACGGAGGATGACATCGTTCAGCCCAAGGTTTCCTCACATCAACAATACATAAGAACTACAATTTTGAAGTGATGCTGGGAAGCAGATCATTTCAAATATTAAAATAATCCATGTATATGAGCCATTGAATTGGGCCTGCATACGGTCAATGTTAAAACCTCACACTGAAATTCAACAGCATGAAACCAGGAAGGTGAGGTATTGTTTCTGAGTGTATGTGGTTGCTGAGTTGGTTTTGCCTATCTTGTTGTGGTATTTTGGGTTTTTTAAATTTGTTTTGCATATATGTTGGGACAAGATAAGATAGTTAAACATATTCGTCAAAGGAGACTGTATTTTTTTTGAGCATAGAGACACACACATTAAGCACATTGAGCATACATCCCTTTGTAGCTGATAGTATTTTACTGGTTTTCACCATACATTAAGAAACAGGTCACTCATGCAAACATGAATAACACTCATCTCAACGTGAATAACATTCTCTTGTGGTTGGCGGCACTTTCTAGCTCAGCATCCTGCACATTCCCTCTGACATGCTCTTCCCATTTTTTGTCTTCTTGCTGCTCAGTGATCTTTTCCTTGCTTGTCCCCTGCCTTAAGGAAATATGCAAAATACTTTCAGTCTGGTTCTGGAAGACTCACAAACTCTTCTTGAGAGCACCCGGGGTCACCATGACACACCTTTTGTTCCATTCTTTGATAAGCTGAGCACCTCAGCTTTCTAGGTCACGTGGCCAGTTGTCTCTTTTCTCACAGTAGCACTGTGGCCAGTACCAGCCGCTGTGGTTGGTGGTGTATTTCTAGTCTCCTGGGCTCCTCTTTGGACTCAAACTGCCCTTCCCAGTCTATTTTAGTCAACAAGTCAAAGCATTAACCCAGTTAGGGACAAACTGCAATGGTTTCTGGAAGCAGACCTGCAAGGGTATCTGCTCCCTAGAAAACCATAGGCATTTGTTACTATAATCTTCTAACACTTCTGTCTTCAAACATCTCATCCCCACCACAGCTTCCCATGGCTGTGCTGAATCTGCTAACAGTAAGTCATGTACAGGCAGGGAGCCTTCTGAGCATTGTTTCCTCCCTTTGAGTTCAGAGGTCATGAACTATGCCACATGTAAGCACTTTTTGTCTTCTCAAACATAAGCAAAATGCTTTGGCATATTTTAACCCCTGACACACTCAATCCCTGGATGTTTAGTACCTTATATTGCTCATTCAAGATACTTTTGTATTTGTTACTTGTCCTTTGTTGATTTTGCAGACCATCTGGATCTGAAAATGTGTGAACCCTTCAAACAGGTGCACCCTCTTGCAGTCAGAACATCATCCTGGAGGAGGACACCTCTTGCAGTCCACCCTGGAGCATGAGGGTTGTATTTTGGTGATTAGACAACAGTATGTGAAAGTGATTGGTCAATAAAGCGTCTTCTTCCTACTCACGTGGCACTTTAGGAGGCGGCACAACATCCCTCGCTGTTTATTCCTTTCCCCTCTTTTGGGTTTTCCTGGGGCTCTTCAAAGAAAGAGGAGCTAGACTTAGATGACTTGGATGAGGAAACTGATCACCGAGTGATGTGGCTGCTCCGGCAGGGATGGCCGGCAAGCCCAAAGACCCTAGGATTCTTTAAGCCTCTACTGCTTGGTAAGGGAATTATTTTTGTAGTTTTAATATTATGCCTTAATATTTAATAACCATACAAATTATTTGGTAAAAGCTATTGTGGAACTCATGTTATAATTTTTCATAGAAATGCTGAAATGAGTCTTCATGCCAGAAGTGCAAGTGCTGGGATGAAGTCAGTGATGGCATTGCCAGAGATCATCCAGTGAGAGCCCACACAGGTAGGGAGATGGATAGGGGGGTAGGTGCAGGGGATGGAGGGGTGGACGCATAGTTAGATAGATGATTGACAGATAGATGACAGACAGATAGGTGATAGATAGATAGATGATAGATAGATAATAAAAACAGTGGATATACAGATAGGTAGGTAGATTGATAATAGACAGCAGTAATAGACAGACTGGTAAATATACAGATATTGGATGTAGGTTCTGGATGTTAAAAACATTGCAATTCTCGTTTAGGCCAGCGTTGGATGTTGGATGTTGGCCTGATTCTTAAATTATCTCCCAATATAAAAAGTAAATACTAATTCCAATTATTTTCTGGACTCCTTTTAGGTTTATGATAAAAAATGAAACCAAACCAAAAAACATAAGACAGGCAGTCTGTATGGAGTATAGTCCTCCACTATCTATTTGTGAATATAGAAGGTTAAACATCTAATTTGCCTTGTGTTATTTGAGGAAGAGGTGGGAATTTGGAAGTCAGGTCATCTGAGACTGGACTGGCATCTTGCCTTAATTTTTTTCATTCTTAAGGGGCAGGTGTTTATAGGCAAAGTGGAAGTACACTCCTGAGAAGGATGGAGAGCAGGCTGTCTGGAAATCAGAGGCAGTACCACCATTAGGGTTAAGCTTCATTTTTAAAATGGTGGAAACTGGACTGGCTTCTTTCTAGCTACATGGTTGAGAGTAAACCTCGTGGCTTAGTGAGCCTGGCATCCTCTTAATCCCACTTATCCACCAGGTCGTTTGGGACTCAAGGGAGGGACTCAAGGGAGAAACTGCAGGTAGGAGCTTTTGTAAACTGTAAAGCTCTTTATGCAGATTATCTTTAGAAGCAGACTGCCCTGAGTAACACTGTTACAATGTGCAAGGTTGATTAAGCAAAGTGATTTTCTACTTATTCCTAAACTCTTAATTGGTAAAGGGGTCATAGCCTGATAAGTATCTGATCTATTCCTCAAGGACAGAAAGCCCACACAATGAACAGCATTTTCCCACCACTGACACCGCTTCTACCATCGGATCTGCAGATCATATCCCTCAAGCACACTCTGGGCCTGCTGGACAGCCCCTTCCGACTCCCTCACCTGAAGGGGGCATCCTTCCCTCTCACGCAGTTGATGAGTTGGAGCAGTACTACTAGATGTTGAATGTGTTGCCTCCAGGGTTCAAAGAGACATCCAGGTACCATTCTTCTCATTGGTAGGGGACGCAAGATGTGGCAATTTGTCTTTTACTTGAAGGAGGTCGGCAGAGAGTCCCTGACCACTAGACTCATGAAACCTTTACTGAAGCGATAGGTTCCCAGATTGTCACAGGATTTATCTCCTTCTCTCTGGAGCATGTAGGTCTTACCAAGTCACCGAGTATACTAGGCATCCGTCATCCCGCGCTTGTCCTGACTGAGCAGCATGCTGCTGTCGGCGTATCAGTGTGATGCTCTGAGATGCCCAGGTACTCCAGATGTCTTAAGACTGCAAGAGAAGCAGGAGGGTTAACATAACCCTGAGGCAAGACCGTAAAGGAGTGTTACCGTGTAACTCACCTGAATATGAACTTTTCGAATACTATTTTCCAATCAAAGTGAGAAAGAAGGCATCTGGCTAATCCACGGTTGAATCCCATGGACCTGCTTTAGGAAGAGGCACCATGTCTGACGAGGCATCAGTGACTGGGACCACTACCTGTTTGCACTCACAATAGTCTCGTCATCCTCCAGCATCCCTGTGGTGTCTGGAGGGAGAAGGCTGGCAAATTAAATGAAGATGTGTAGCCCCCACTCTTTGTATCCTTTATGTCATCAATGCTCTCTGCTTTTCCCCTCCTCAAGATGCAATATTGTTCCTAAGTAACTCTTTTGTCTTAGGGTGGGGTTGAGGAAATCGTAAGAGGTGTCCGCTTACCCTTCCTATTTATAAGAGTTCTTACCCAAAGGCCAAGGACACAATAGGAGGTTGGGATGGGTGGGAGGGGGGTTATTCCAACTGTCAAACATATCAATTCTAATGATAAACTTGTGTTAGAGAAATGACCACTGGATGTGTTCATAGACCCAGTGGGATCACATAAAGACAGAGTTTACTCAGAACCCTATTTATTACCTTGGCACCTTACCCCCATTCTAGCAGTGGGGCCATGGTGACGTTTTGGTTTTTCAGGTATCAGTGTTTGCTTACACCGTATGACCAATAGCCCTTGAGATGTCTGAGAATTTCTTTCTCCAAATACAGTCATCCAAGTAAATGGCTATAGGTTCCTGCGAATAAGGAGTGGGGGAATCATCAGACTATATGCTTGTCAGAATGTTGCAGGATCCTTCCTTCTGGCTACTTCTTCGGACAATAGATTCTGAATCTGAAAATTAGCTCAGGACTGGTCACTAAGCAGGGGATAATAACTTTTATTGGCTCAATGGTGACTGCCCTTAGCCTCTTACTCTCTATTTTGTGACTCTTTCTGGCTGTAGCTATTAAGCAGCTCCCTATTGGCTGCCTACCTATTTTGCTGCATATGATGGAAATGTTTCTACATTCCACTTAAAGTGATAAAATATTGCTTCCAAGTAGACTATGTAAAGTTAATGTTTCTTTGTAATCCCCAGAGTACTCACTAATATACAAACATGTGTGGTTTAAAAATACATAGGTAAATGAAAGTGAATGCTAAAAAATGTTCAAATAGTGCAAAAGAAGCCGGGAAATGGGAAACACAAAAATGAAAACCAGAGAGGACAAGCAGAAAACAGCAAAATGGCAGATCTGAATCCAAAAATATCAGTAGTTAGATTAAATGTAACTTATCTAAACATATCAATTAAAAGACATATATTGTCAGATTGGATTTTGGACGAACAAATGAACAAATAAAAAGTGACTACACTATAAGATGTCTTCTGAGGTTCACTTCAAATATAATAACATAGATAGTTGAAAATTAAAGGATGGAAAAAAATACCATAAAAACACCCATTAAAAAGAGCAGAACTATCTATATTAATGTCAGACAAATTCAGAGCACAAAAAATTATTAGAGATAAAGGTGGACATCACATCATGATAAAAAGGGGAATTCACAAAGTATGCACCTAACACCGTAGCTTCAAATGATGTGAGGCAAAACCTGTTAGATCTGGAAGGAAAAACAGAAATATTCCTAATTTTTGTGACTATTTTCTATACTCCTCTCTCATTCACAACAGAACTAGTAGACAGAAAATCAGCAAAAATATAGAAAAAGTGAACACCATCAACCAGCTAGATCTAGTAGATATTTATGTAATACTCCACTCACTCACTCAATCAGAATATACCTCTTTTCAAATGCATATTGAATATTCACCAAGATAGATTATATCCTGGGTCTTAAAAGAGGTCCTAACAAATTTGATGCAGAAAATTAATTTGCTGAGTGTAATAGAATTGAGCTAAGAATCAATAACTACAAGATAACAAGAAAATCTGCAGGCACTTGGAAATTAAACAACACACTTCTAAATAACTCATGGATCAAAGAGTAGGTCTTGAGGGAGACAGAAAATATTCTGAACTGAATGAAAATGGGAAACAGAGATGAAAAACCCTGATTATCCGAGTGAAGATTTCAGTCAGGCAGTCCAGAGATCTGTGTAGAGAGAAGAGCTTCTCTCCCATTTAACGGTTTACTTCCTCGTGGTCTTTTGATACATTGAAAGATAGTGTGTTAAATTTTTATATTGGCCACAATCATCTTGGATGCAATAAAGAAAAGCTTACAAATATCAGGTTTCCTCTTTAAGATGGCTCTTTATTATACAAAACAGCCAGGCAGCCAAGTATGAATGCCCCTGGGCAGCAGGAGCTGGCTGAATGTCAGTTGAAAAGACAAACAGGCCTGGAGTGATCACGTGAACGTGATGTTTGGGAGGGCCAGCAGAACTGAGATCGCAACTGCCCTGCGAACAATCTTCACAGGAACTTGCACAGAAGTGAAATAGTTAAAGCAAATTCTAGGATTGTGGTAGAAAACACACAAAAAAATGCGAATCATTGTCTTCTAAATGAGACCAGTGGATAAATGGTGTTTCTAGACTCCTTGCTTCAGAGTTCTCAAAAGTAAGTGCATTGCATGTTTTTCTGTTTTATGTGTTTGGGGGGTTTCTTTTTTACTCTCTCTCATTTTTCATTTTTTCCTATCATCAATTTATAAATAAGGCTTTGGGAACTGAGTGTCAACCATCTGGGGAGAAATTACTTTGAAAATTAATGAGCTATTTTGATGTTTTTGAATATCTGGTGTTTAATATTATGTACATGAAAGCATTGAGTTAAAAATAGAAGTTTTCTTTTAAAAAAATAGGCAACTAGTATATGGTTCTAAACCAGAAACTGAGTGTGAGAATAAGCTGAAATTTGCTAACAAATTGATAGTGAAGAATTAAGAATCTTGAGAATCGATGTATAAACCTGGATTGTTTTTGAAATTATAGTTATTTACTTTTATTGCACAATGATTTGGGAGCCTTTTGGATAAACTTTTTTTGACTTTGAGGCAGTTTACCAAAAGCATGTGCAGAAATATTTTTATTGTCCCTGTCTCTCTCAAGCTGTAGGAATTTTGGAAATGTAAGATGCTTTTCAGGATCTTTTACTTTGAGGACACAAATCAAACTTTGATTTATTTTAATCAAAATAAGTTTGATTTATTAAATAATAAATTTAAGTGTTTCCTTATCACAATATGATTTCAAATGCACACTATTTTCAGTAAATAGAACTTTTATGCTCTTTTGGTGTAAGCATTTTGTTCTGAATTTAACAACTGTGTAACAGGAAGAAGAATCAGAGCTTTTTCCATTGGAAGATAGGTACTTGGTGCATTGTTGGCCTTTTGATAAATTACAAAACGTACATGAATTGGGGAAAAATAAAGTAAGTAATACTACTTTACAGTGGAAAATTTAAGGGGCTGAAGCCAGACTAAGGTTTCCATGCTACACTGGGCTGTGGCTGACTGCAGTGAGGAGACCACTCTGGGCCAGTTTACCCTCCTGCACAGCCCTGCACAGTCCACTTCAAAACATCCACACTGAATTCTCTGCATTAAGAACAACCTATGGGGATCCTCAGCCCCTTCTCATTGGACACCTTACCTAATGCTTTTCTCTGGAAATTCGCATCCTCCCTCCAAATGTCATCTCCTGGCTTTGTAACCTCTATACCCAGTCCGCTTCTACTCAGACTTGCCTCTCAGCCTCCTCAGGCCTCCATGTGGAGGCTCTTCCCCTTGGCAATGCGCTCTGCAGCTGTCTTGGCTAATACGCCTCCCAGTGGACCTGCCCCTGTACATCCTACCCGAGCTTTGCCTCTGGGATATGGCGCAGCCCTGGACGTTGTCCTGCTCTGGATGGAGTGCGGGCCTCGCGTGGGGGGCATACCCTCTCCTTATCACTACAGAGAGATCAAGGCAGCCATGCGGGCAGCATGGCACACACATAAGAGGAGCAGACTGCTTGCTCCAAATTCAGGATTTAGGAGCCAAATTCAGGGTGAAGCTATGCTCAAAAGTCCTGACCTGTTCTTCCCAGTCAGGTCTCTGGCATGCTGCCCAGGAAACTGGTGGTCATTCCAGAATCTCTTTACTTTCTGTAATTCAGCTTAGACACTGTTTCTCCCTACAGCGAAGTCCTTTTGAGAACACTCCAGTCCCACAGGAAAGCCTCAGCAAGCTCAACGTGTATAGTATGGCTGGTTGGGGCTGTGGAATGATGGGCTATTATTATGCACTGAGGCATCTCCTGGGAGGTATTTTGGGTCCCTGTTGCACAAAAAGGTATGTGTAAGTGCCCCTACCTGATCCTCACCACCACCACCACCAGCACCACACACCCACACACTCATACATGCTCTCTGCTCAGCGTTGCTAAAACTGAGGCTTGCTGCATCTGCCAGGGGAAGAGTGTGGTCTCCTCAACTCCTGCTCTCTGGTTGCTGGTGCAGTGTCTCTGGAAGAATAATGCTGCTCTCTGTAGGCCATTTTAGGTAGAGTCCATGGGATGTTTCACAGTGAACTAGCCTACACACACGAGTCCTGGGACCCTGGGTTCTTAATCCAGCTAAAGCCTGGCCGAGCCAGTTCGGGTGGAGTTTCTACCCTCCACTCAAGCACAAGATTAGGTACATCACAGTCTCCCCATAGTGTCGTGTAAAAGCCATTGCCAAAGCTAATTAGCTGTAGGTGGTAAAGGCAAATCTATTTTGTGTAAACTTTAAATTAAAGTTTCAACCAAATTTCTATATAGTAACCAAAATGACCAGGATTGGAATTCAGCAGACAGCTAAAGTATCTAGAAAATCTTTGTAAGAAGAAGATAAGTATAATAAATGATGTGATATTTCCATTAAAAAAAAAGTTTCCTAGGAAACATAAATATATTCTCAGAGATGGGAACAAGAATGTCATTTTAAAATACAATCCTCTTTATAGTCTGCCAGGTTCTAAACCCTGGTGACTTTCCTATCTTAATGTTCTAATTTTTTTGCAGAAGGAAAGTAAAAGTTAAGAAGTTTTTCAGAGGGAAAAGGAAATGTAGTCTTCTCACAACAAATCAGTATAAATTGCAGTGACTTCTAGAAATAACAACCATCCTATTGAATCATCTTAGATAGGTTCCTAAAACTGATCATTTACTCATGTTCTTAAGTAAGTATTACAGAGATGTGAAGTTAGGTGTGTTAAGGATGTACTAATGGAAGCTAAGAGGTGTGCATATATGCATTGCTCTGAGTGCAGTCAGAAACCACCCAGTAATTTAAACAAGGTGGGATTTAATATAGAGAATAATTACACAGCTATAGGAGAATAGGTGTACAGATGGACTGAGAACTCTAAAGGGCATCCGAAGGCTGAGGGAAGAACAAACTTGGATGGGGGGGTAGTGTGTGGAATAAGGCGGGTTTGGAGCAGGTGTGCT